CCTTATCTTTTCCTTTGTCAGTGAGTCTGTACATCTGTGTACCTGTGTGGCAGGTGTTTATGTGTGTTTGAATCTCTGTGTGTGACATCTCTGTGTGCAGCTGGAAGTTTGCGTGTCCTGTGCCTGTGAGGCTGAAGGTCCCCGTTGGACCCTGGGTGACTGCGTGTCTGCACGTGACATGGCTTATGTGTGACTGTGTGGTCGAGGTTTCAGAGTCCCTCTGACCATCTGGATCAGCATCTGCAGAACTCAGGAGTTTGGGGAAGGGGGTTGAGGGAGGCCCAGGTCCTGTCCTCAAGTTGTCCCTTTAACCTGGTGTCTTCCTTAACTGTGAAAAGCCATGGTCCCTCTGAAGGAAAGGAGAGAAGTGAGCAGGTCTAAACTTTGCCATGAACCTGGCCCGGTGGGATTCTTAGTGCAGCCAGGTGAGACCTGACAGAAAAATAGTCCTGAGAGGTGAGTGGGAAGCATGAAACAGGGGTGCTGTTGGCCTGGTGGTTGGTGCAATGGACCAACCATTTGGAAAGTTTGCCTGCTGGAGAGGAGGAGGGAATCCTGTCCAGGCTCCTCACAGACCAGTGAGTCCCCACCTGTCCTTGTGATCTCCCCACATACATGTACTCCCTTGCCTCCTCCTAACTCAGCAGGGGCTTCCTGGGGTGATTCTGACTCAAAGCAACCCTCTAGTGACCCTGGGGCATGCCCTGGAATAAGCGGGGGTGCTGTACCACCTGAAGCAGCCCTGAGAGGGGAAGGGAGATGATAAAGGCCCCTCTGAGCATCCCAGAACTTGGTGGAGCCTGAACTCAGTTATTTCCTACATACATTTATTGAGGTTTATATGTGCCAGAAGCCCTGGTGGCACAGAGGTTAACAGCTATGGCTGCTAACCAAAAGGTCAGCAGTTCGAATCCACCAGGCACTCCTTGGAAACTCTATGGGGCAGTTCTACTCTGTCCTATAGAGTCTCTAAGAGTTGGAATCAACTCAATGGAAATGGTTTTTTTTTTTTTTTTTTTTTGGTATATGTGCCAGGTGCCAAGCCAGGGGCTTGGGATATAGACACAGTCTCTGCCTACACAGAGTGAGGGGAGAATTCCTCAGGAGTCCTTTCTGGTAACTTAATGAGCCTGGATGACATTCCACTGTGCATCAGGACAGCCAACCATGTGGTCTCATCTGCAGAAGCCCCAGTCTAACAGGGTGGGGGGTAGACACACACACGGGGACCAGGTTGGTGGTCATCCTTGCTGTGGTGATGGGGGCGGGCTGGGAGTGTGTCTGGGGTGAGGGATGAAGAGCTGTGCGGGAGCTGATCTGGGGTAGGCATGTGTTTTCATCTCAGGGGCCACAAGAATAATATCCCAGAATCACAGAGGAGAACACGGGGTCTCAAGGACACATCTACTGACCAAGCTGCACCCTTGGCCATCTGTTCGTCTACTGCTGCTCAGGCACAACAGACTGCTGTTTACTGGGTGCTGACCGTGGGCAAGGCAGGCCTCGCAGCCACCCTGAGAAGTAGTTATTATATATTATCACCACTTGATGTTACAAATGAAGAGGCTGAGGCTGGGAGAGGTCCCTGATCACCTAGAAAAGGGGCGGGACCAGGTTTTAAACCTAGGTCTGTTGGACTCTAAAGTGAGGTAGCAGGGCGGCTTTGTTATGGGCCGCGTTCTGCACAACCAAGGGCCTTGCCGTGGGTTTCTTGGCCTCTGCTGACAGTAACCTCAGTTTGGAAGCCTCAGGAGCTTCTGAGCTGGGTGCAGGGAAGCTGGGATGTCAGTGGGGAGGCTGACCGTGGCAGGCACAGACAGAGTAGCAGGGCCCTAGGGAGGCCTCTCTCCCCTCCAACTAGCCTGAATGGCCTTCGGGAGGAGGAGGGAAGGCTACAGTCAGGAGCCGTTAGAGGATTAGGGAGAAATTGCTTGACCTGGGAGGAGGAATTGCTGGAGATGACACTCGCTGCTCCTGGAGATGACCAGGCATGGAGGCGGGTCTTCTCCAAGGCGGAGAGGCTCCCCCTGCTGGAAATATTCTCCAACCAGAGGCCGAGGAGTTAACTGCCCATTCATCCTCCCTAGCCCAGATCCACCCCAGCCTGAACAGGGGCATGGGGAAAAGAACCACAGAGGGCTAGTTCTTTGACCTTGAAGATGCCGTGGTCACTCTTGGGTCCTTGTAGAACTCAAACAGGTTGGAGGTGGAAGAGAGAGGCTCAGAGAACAAGGGAGACCCCAGCTGTGGGCAGAGGTATGTGCTGCAGCAGAAAGAACACAGGCTTTGGTCTCACAGACCTGGGCTCCAAACTCCACTTTGCCACTTACCTGCTGGTGACCTTGCGCAAATCACTTAACCTTCATAGACTCAGTTTCCTCAGCTGTAAAATGGGAATATTGTGGGGATTAAAGAAGCTAATAATGAGGCCAGGCACAGTGCTAAGGGCTGCATTATCTTACTTAATTCTCACAACCTGACCTGAAACCCGTTGCCTTCGAGTTGATTCCAATTCATAGTAACCTTATAGGACGGAGTGGAACTGCCCCCTAGGGTTTCCAAGGAGTGGCTGGTGGATTTGAACTGCTGACCTTTTGGTTAGCAGCCAAGCTCTTAACCACTGTGCCACGAGGGCGCCAATTCTCAGAACAGCCCTATGAAAAACAAGCTGTTATTACCTCTCCTCTACACATGAGAAATTCAAGGCTCAGAAAGGTTAATTAACTTGCCCAAGGTCGTCACAGGTCAACTCCCAGGCCCAAACAGGTAGCCACCATGCTGTACTGAGCCTGTAGATGAAGTTTGCGGGGCCTAATGCCAGGCTGGTTTCATGTGTTTTGATTTCCTCAGTGGGTAGGGAGGAAAGAACTCTGGCTCCATCCCTGAGGCTCTGAAGCAGCTCAGTCAAACTAGTTCTCCAGGGCCCTTCAGTAATACCTCACCTCTTGACAGCACTTTATAGTTTACAGAGCCATTTCACCCATATTATCTAATGGATCCTCCCATTAACCCTGTTTTTCCCATTCAACAGATGAGAAAACTGAGGCAAGAGAAACTTAAGTGCCTTATTCAGGATCATTCAGGTAGGAAATGGCAAAGTTAGCCTTGAACCCGTTTCACTCTACCACAGTTGCCTTCAGAGTCCTCAGGGATAAATTACACAATATTTAACCCTATTAGTCATTTTCACCTCACAGTGTGTGTGTGTTCTCCTATTCAAAGAGCAGATTTATTCTTTAAAAAATAGATATATTTGAATAAAAAATTAAATCACCTATGCAGAAGAATTCCAAATAATTTATGTAGATACTCCACCCTTAAGGAGGTGAAGCGTAACTTCCCACTCCTTAAATGCAGGCTTTGTATACTGACTTCTTTCCAATGAATACAGTATTAAAAGGGGGAAAAAAAGAGCAACTTTACAGTGGAGAAGTCTGACAGACACTACCTCAGTCAGATCAAAGTCAGCCTCAAAAATCAAACCATGTTGATAGTAGGTGTTCTTGATATGATGTGAGGGAAACGGCATTTTACCTCTGTAGTTTTCCTCCCCAAAACCCATAACCCCAGTGTAAACATGAGAAAAACATCAGATAAATCCCAGCTGGGGACATTCTACAAATATCTGACCCATCCTCCTTAACACTGTCAAGGTCATCAAAAACAAGGAAAGTCTGAGAAACTGTCACAGCCAAGAGGAGCCTAAAGAGACTTGAGAACTAACTTGTAATGTGTATCCTGGATGGGCTCCTGGGACAGAAAAAGAAGGTAGGATAAAAACTAAAGAAATCTGAATTTAAAAAAAAAATTTTTTTTTGCTTGGTTAATAGTAATGTATTAAAATTGCTTCATTAGTTGCAACAGATGTATTATACTAATATAAGATGTTTTTAATGGGGAAACTGGGTATGGGGTATATGAGAACTCTGTACTATCTTCACGAGTTTTCTGTAAATATAGAATTGTTCTAAAAAATAAAATTTATTTTTTTTAAAGTCAAAAGGTTCAAAAAGATACTCAGTAAAAAGTCTCCATCTCACCGTTGTAAGTCAGCCGCTCGGTCCTCTTCGTCAGACAAAACTGCTGTGTTTCTTTCCAGGGATATTCCATTGAAGCCATATGCTTAGTGTTAAGAGCCTGGACTTCACAACCGAATGGCTGCATCTCTATTTTGATCTCTGCCGCTTGCTAGCTGTGTGACCCTGGGCAATTCCTCAACCTCTCTGTGTCTCATGTCCTCAGAGATAAAATCCTCATACAATTATTAGGAGGGTTAAATGTTCTTAATATATACAATAAGCATCTTATAAGTGGTTGCTATTATTATTATGATTATGTGTTAAGAAAAAAATCTCCAAACCTTGTAAATAAGGCAAAAATAGTTATCACTGGCTAATAATCCTGCCCATGGGTCATCTAGGGGACAGTAGAATACTATTGATTGATTAGGGCCCAGACTCCATAAAGTTAAGACATGAATTTGTGTAAGACTGATAAATTGCAAATTATTTTTGTCTGGTAGAAAAAGAAACAATTATGATTTTATCGCTGGGTAGGAATTAACTTTTTTGCATCTAATTTTGCAATCTTATTCTAGCATTCCTTTCTCCACTGTCTGTAAACAACAATTTTCCATTTCTTCCTCTGATCCCTCTTGCTGGTTCCTTCATTAAGTAGTTAAATCAATCTAGGCACTCACTCTATATTTGTATTAGTCATGTTTTATCTTTTTGAAAATTATACTTTGACAAATAGTAGCATGCCACACACACTGTTCCACCCTTTGGTTATTTTCACTTAATACGTCTTAAAGACAGTTTCGTATCAGAACATAAAGAGCCTCCTTAATCAATCCAACCAGGCCCCTCTTGATGGACACTTAGGTTGTTTCACCCCTTTACTATTGTAAGCAATGCTGCAATGAATAACCAGGTTTGTCTAGGCAGGGGTGGTTGGGAAGGCAGAAGGATGCTCTAGAAAGGACAGGAAGCTAAGGGAAGGGGCCTGAGAACCTGCTCCCAGCCCGGCCTAGCCCATCTTCCCCAGGCTCTGTGCACACCTAGCCTCCTCCTGCTGCCTCCTCCTCTCCATCCTGAGCTCCTGGTAGCGCCAAACAGGAAGGGCCAGTCTGCAATGCCCTCCAGGTTTGGGTTCCTGCTTGCGCTGGCTGAAGCTCCAGGGTGCCTTGGAGAGGAGGATCCTGGGGGCTTGGGGCCTAGGGCTGCTACTATCCCTGGGCCATAGCCACTGAGGGCACAGGCTCAATATGCCCTGAGGGCTCTGGTAGGGGACGAGGACCTGGGGACTAGGGACTACTGGGGAGGACTGGGGGGCCAGGGGAGGGGGCGGGGCAGTGCCCAGCAGCTCTGGCACGGACACACTTCGGGTGCCCAGTGCAGGTGGGCAGTCAGGGCACAGGGTGTGGCAGGCAGTGGTGAGGAAGGGACTGGCCAGGCTGGTTGTGATGGTCACAAGGTGGTCCAGGACACCCCCCTCCTGGGGAGACTGAGGGAAGGGGAGACTCAAGGTGGCCTGCAGTCGCTCTAGCAGAGATGGGGCAGTCTGGGCCTGGGCCACTAGTCCTGCCAAGGCTGGCCACTCAGGCTGGTAATGCTGGCTGAGCTGCTCGACTCGGGGCCTCCCCAGGAGCTGCCGGATCCTCTGCACTGTGCTGAAGCTGTCGGTCAGCACCGCCAACTCCAGGGCTGTCTTGCCCCGAGCAGGGTCCACAGCTGTCAGGTCAGCACCTGGGAGGGGGCACAGGAGTGGCACAGGGTGGGACAGGGATTGGTGATGTGTGGACAGATTCTTTAGCAGCAGGACTTAGTTGGGTTAGATTCACAACCATAGAGTCCCACTCCGTTGAAGCTGGAATCCAGGAGGCCAGCACAGCAACCTCTTATTTAAGGGGTGAAGAAACTGAAGCCCATAGAGGGAAAAAGACTTCAGAGAGATCCTTTGGGGGGGGATTCTAAACAGGGAGCAGAGTAGGTGCCTCCTGAATCCAAAGAAATGACCTGAGGGGTGGTGTGAGGGTTGCCTGCGACTTGGGGGAGGCCCAGTTTGCGCCCCCTGGGGCAGGTGGAGGGTTTCTGCGGGTTCCCTTTCCTTGTTCTCTTCATCACCATACCCCTCTAATCCTGAGGGGAGGGGGTGGGCACTCTGAGCCAAAGGAGAGGGGGCGGAGCTCCTCTCTTCTCACCCAGACCCAGTCTGGTGGGGTGGGGAAGGGAAAAGCTGGAGGCAGGGGTCCCCCAGAATGAACAGCAGAGGGTGGCCCCACCTTAGGGAATAATGAGGGCCTACAACTCCATGGATAGTGTGTACCTTGTCCCAGAACTCCACGAGGTCACACGCCTCAATTACACATCACTGTGTTTCCTGGAGCCCTGACTTGTCAGAGCTAGAAGTCACCCCCGAGAAGGCCAACGTCCTTATGACATTGGTAAGGCCCAGTGAAGAAGCCATCTGCCTGGGGTCACTGTTAGTGGCAGGACCAGGATTAGGACTCAAGAGTCTGGATCCAGATAGCAACCCTTTTTGTTTTAGGTTTCCCAGCTGGTCAAGGTTATCCTCCCAAGCTTTCCTTTCTGGGACTGCCATTTGCTGGACTTTGTTGATTGTGGGAAGCCCAAAGCACACTCCCCACCTCCAGGAAGTCTGCCTAGATTGTCACCTGATCCTCCATCTCCTCCTCTTGCCTCTCTGCAACTATGACAGTTGACCTAGTATCCAGGGGAGGGACTGGAGGTCACACATCCCAGTCCAGGCCCCACGCACCTGCCATGAGGAGGGCAGCCACGCACTCGGTGCGGTCCCGCATGGCGGCCTTCATCAGAGCCGTGAGCCCTCGCTGGTCCCGGCGCTCCAGGTCCAGGCCCGCATAGTAGTTGAGCAGGAGACTCACCAGGGGCACATGGCCTGCAGGGCACCAAGGGTGGGTCATGACTCCCCTGGAAAACGGGGTGGTGAAGCCCCAAACTCACCTTCCACCAACCACGGCAGAGCCTGGGGTCAAAGAGAGTCATGCAAAGGGCATGAGACTGTGGCCCTGGCTGGGTGGGGGTGGCGGGGGTCAGCAGCCTCATACCTGCTTGGACAGCCAGCATGAGGGCCGTGTCCCCTTCTTTGTCCTGCTGGTTCACATCGAGGAAAGGGCAGTGGCTGAGCAGGGCCACAACACTCCTGAAGCCACGGTAGCAGGCGACCATGAGGCCTGTCTGGGGGAGGGGGAAGCTCAGCCCCTGGGCTTGCTCCTGGGGCCCCCTGTGCTCTCCAAGCCCACATCCATTCCAGCCCCTGTGAAGACCCACCCTCACCCATTCCCTTCCCCAGAGCACCCAGCAATGGGTGTTGACCCTGGAACTCTCCCAGGGAGTCAGATCAGGATGGTGTAATGGAACACAGAGCTGCCCCCAGCCATCCTGGGAAACACTGGGGATATCTCACCCTCCCATTGCCGTCCACCTGGGTGGCCTCCTCTGGGGAGACCCCACCATCCAGCAAGGCTTGGAGCTGGGCAGGGTCATTACGGGCACAGGCCCAGTACAGGGCCCCCAGCCTGCAGCCTGGCGCAGGGGTTTCATTGCTGATGCAGGATAATGCCTCAGACACTGCCAGCCCTCCCTCCTGCAAGGGCTGATCTTCCTCTTCCAGCCTGGGAAGAAGGCTTGTGTCTCCTCTTCAAGCTGCTGACATCTGTAATACAGAATAAAGGGAAGAGTGTCTCCCTGGGGCCCAGGGAGAGGATCTGACAGCTGCCAATAGCCCAGCCCTTCCACAGGAGCCCTGGTGGCGCAGTGGTTAAGCGCTTGGCCGCTAAATGAAAAGTCGGCATTTCAAACCCACCAGCTGCTCTGCGGGAGAAAGATGTGGCAGTCTGCTTCTGTGAAGATTTACAGCCTTGAAAATCCAATGGGGCAGTTCTACTCTGCCCATAGGGTCACTATGAGTCGGAATCGACTCCACTGCAATGGGTTTGAGTTTTTTTGGTTTGGGGCCCAGGGATAGCCTTTTCCTGGTGGGGTGTCTCTCCCCATCCACCACAAGAGAGGACAAGCTGTCGGAGGAGACTTAAGAGGGCAGGGTCAGTCCACTCCGTAAATCAGGAGCCCAAGGAGATTCAAAGAGTTCCTTGTCTTCTCTTCCCCAGTGGACCTTACCTGGGGCCTGGAGGGTCCCTATGAGGCACTCCTTGCTGGGCCACAGCCTGGTCCCCCAGCACCCCCCAGGCCCCTTGGAGCACACTCACCTGGTGTCTGGAGTGGCCTGAGTGGACTACCCCTCCCAGGAAGAACGCAGGTACCAGATGGTGGAGAGCTGCCTCAAACACCTCTGAGCTGAGCTGGATCAAGCCAGGATAGAAAGGGATTGGGGGGCCAGGTGGGGGCGGTGCCCTCCTCTCTGGAGCTGACCAAGACCTGCCAAGATCCTGCCCAGAGTGGGCCATGTCAGGGCAGCTCCTCCCTCCCAGGGTGGCTTGGAAAAGATTTTCCTCTCCCCTAATGTGCTCGCGGCCAGCCTTCTTGAGAGACTAGCGGCACGCAGAAACAGGCCCTTAGAAGACGGAAGGGTTATAGATAGGGTCTCTGCACCCAGCACCAAGAGCCTGGAGTCTTCTCCCTCTTTGGTGGAGCAGGGCTTGGTGAGGGTGTGTGTGGTGGTGGAGAGGGTTCGAGAGAGCAGATACCTCACTGAATAGAACTGAGACTCTCAGGACTGTGGGTGAGGGGCTTCCTTTTTTTTGTTTGTTTTTTACATTCTGGGAAATTAAAACATAAAGAATTGCCAAATTAGGTGTACAGATATTATATATATTAAATTTAATGGAATTTTTGGCCTCAGATGTAGAGAACTGAACCAATCATACCACCCCCTCCCCTGTATGACTCCCACCATCAGACTATACAAGACCTCTCTTGTTTTATTTTTCTTTATTTATTCTCTTTCATCCCTGATCCCCACACCCCATTCTCCTTTTCTCTTCCTTTACCAGCTGGCACCTATATGTCCTCAAAAATGTACAACTTCATTGAGAAATGTAGTGTTCATTTGTGTATGTGTTTTTAGCTTGTTAGCCACTGTCAAGTAGCCCCTGACTCAGGGCAACCCCATAGACAACCAGTGTTAGTCAGAAACTTGTTAATCATCATAACAACATACAAGCCTCCACAGATGAGTGGTGGCTGTGCATGAGGTGCATCGGCTGGGAATCAAACTCAGGTCTCCCACATGGAAGACAGGAATTCTACCACTGAACCACCATTGCTTACATCTTATGAATTGTGCTATAGAGCTTATTCTATTTGCTTTTTCACTCAACACTGTGTCGCTTCACGTACATTCTATCAGTTAGGAGTGCATAAGCGAACGCTGACCCTCATGGTGTGGTGGTTACTATGGACTGGCTGCTCAACCTCAATCCCAAACTGCAGAAGCTGGAAAGCTAAAGTACATTTCCCAGATTCCCTTCAGCTGGGAATCTGTAATTTAGGTTCAGCCAAACAGATGTTCTTATGTAAGACATAAATTTGAACAAAGTTAACTCTCATGGAACATCCGTTTTGCTGTCACAGATCATGACAAAAGCAGTGGGGCTCTGTGGTGCGCAGCTGTCTGATTCATCAGCTTCCCGTAGTAGTGACTGTTGTTTTCTCAATCACAAGCAGAGGTCATGTGATTCTCAAAGCTGGGAGTTGTTCGTGGACCTAGAGCCTACTTCTCCATCTCTTTCTGTTTAAATTAGTCGGAATTTGTTTCCGTTGTCTGCAATTGAACCCTAACTGATTCGAGGGGCTTATTTTTCACATAAGTTAAGAAGGTGGTGTTGGTTCAACAACTTGATGCCAGGGCCTTCTCGGCAAGGCTCTTGACTTTTCCTCATGGTTACAAGATGGCTGCTGTACCTCCAACCATCACACCCATTTTCCAGGAAGAAGGGAGAAGAAAGAGATAAAAAGGTGTGCCCTGCATTTTTGGTCAAGAAATTAAAGATTTTCTTTGAAGTCCAACTCATCAGACTTCTGTTTTCATTTCATTGGCCAGAAATGTGTTACATGGTCACACCTAGCTGAAATGTGACTAGAGAGAAGGAGAGCTGTGGATAGGGATTGTGTCAGTTAGTCACCTATGTCTGGCCCATAGTCTCGTGCATTTTTTCTAACTGCTGCATAGAATTCCATAGTGCATCCACCACATTTTACTTATCCATTCTCCCAGGGATGGTCACCTAGGTTGCTCCCAACTTCCTTTCCCTACATCCTTATACATATCTGCTTGGACCTAAGAGGGCATCTCTGAGATTACTGGGTCAAAAGGCACATACATGCTTAGTGATTAGGAGCTGTCAGATCGCTCTCTATTTTGCACTGTACCCAGCTGCTGTGGGTAAGAGTTTCCCTACATCCTTGCCAACGCTTGTGATTATTCAGCCTTCTAATTTTTGCCAATCTGGTGGTACTATCAAGTGATATCATTATTTCGCAGTGGATTCTTCTGATGACCAACAAGGTGAGCATTCTTCCAAGTATCTGATAGTCATTCTTGTTCCCCCTTCTGTGAACTGCCTGTTTGTAGCCTCTGCCCAAGGTCCTAATGGATTTTCCTCTTTTTCTTATTTTCAGCAATTCTTTCTAATATTCTAGATAATAAACCTATTGTCAGTTTTAGATGTGGCAGCTATACTGTTGTCATGGATTGAATTATGTCCCCCCAAAAATGTATCCATTTGGCTGGGCCATGATTCAAAGTATTGTGTGGTTGTCCTCCATTTTGTGATTGTAATTTTAGGTTAAAGAGGACTAGGGTGGGATTGTATAATACCCTTACTAAGGTCACATCCCTGATCCAGTGTAAAGGGAGTTTCCCTAGGGTGTGGCCTGCACCACCTTTTATCTTACAAGAGATGAAAGGGAAGCAAGCAGAGAGTTGGGAACCTCATACCACCAAGAAAGCAGGGCCGGGAGCAGAGCGCGTCCTTTGGACCTGAGGTTCATGCGCTGAGATGCTTCCAGACCAAGGGAAGACGGATGCATCACAAGGACCTTCCTCCAGAGCTCACCATGGACCTCACAGAGAGAGAAAGACTTCTCCTGGAGCTGATGCCCTGAATTTGGACTTGTAGCCTACTTGACTGTGAGAAAATAAATTTCTCTTTGTTAAAGCCATCCACTTGTGGTATTTCTTTTATAGCAGCACTAGATGACCTACCTATTAACTTTATCTATGATAATCTTCATTGAAAGAAATCTTGGATCTTAAAGTGGTTAAATTCATCAAAATTTCTCCTTATAATTCATACTTTTGTATCTTATTTAAGAAGATTTTCCCACTCCAAGGTCATAAAGATCTTAATTTCTTTTATTAATTTTTCATTTTTATTTTTAATATTTAGTCTTTAATCCATCTGGACTTAACATTTATATGTGGTGTGAAGAAGGGGTCTAACCTTACCTTTCTCTATTTAGTGAGCCAAGTTTCTAAACAATTCTTTCTCCTCTGATTTGTGATGTCATGTTTTTCATATGTAGACTTTGAGCTCTCTTTTTATGTTCCATCATTTTATTAAATGGTTCCTATGCTGAAGCAACAATGATTTTATTACTCTAGCTTTGTAGTTTGTCCGACTACCTGATAGGGTGGGTTCTCCATATTTAATCTTCTTTTTCAAAATTGATTTTTATTCTTTTATATAAAATTGCAAATAAGTCTATTGAATTCTTTTAAATATTTTGCTGGCATTTTTATTGTAATGGCATTGAATTTATAGATTAATTTGGAGAAAAATGACTGCCTCACAACATTAAATCTCCTCAGTGCAGGCTTGGGGCCCTAGCTTTTTAGGGACATCTTTTATTAGATTCCTCTCCATCATCCTGTCAAAGATAAAGGCTATAGAAGTTGAAGCTCAAGTTTGCCAGGTTCAACAAATGTCCTCAGATAAAAGCAGCTTCCTTGTTCTGTTTCCCTGTCTAAATTCCTGCCTTCTCTTAGATTTTAACCTAATAAATTCTTGCTAGCTGCCAGTTATTCTATGCTTTTTAAAATAATTTGCATTTACATTTTAACCAGCATTTTTACTCAGAAAGATCAGTCCAGAATCCAGCCAGTCATATACTGGAAAAAGAATTTCCTCTAATCTTAATTAATTAAAAAACAACCCAGTAGCAATATGGGCAAAAAACACAGGCAATTAATTCATAGAAGAAATACAAATGGGCAACAAATGTATGAAAAGATACTTAACCTCATAAGTAAGCAAGAACAAGCAAATTAAAACAATAATGAAATGTTACCTTTGGCCTATCAGTTTAGCAAAAATTAAACATTAATAATATTAAGTGCTTACACTGTTGGGGGAATGTAAACTAGTGAAGTATTTTTGGAAAGTATTTTGATCTACCAAAATAACAAATGCACACACACACTGACCCAGAAATTCTGCTTTTAGAATCTTCCCCAAAACAGTACTTGCGTATGTGAGCAAAGACCTACTGTACATTATCTTGCAGCATTGTTTGTAATAGCAAAAAAGTAAAAAATTAGAAGCAATTTTTTTTTGTCATCAATAGGGGAAGGGCTAGTGAAAGTATGGCATGTACAAATTATGCCTCTATTAAAAAAGAATGGACTGTCCCGAAAATATCTGCAAGACACGTTATCAA